AAAAGCAAGAGCAAATGGATACTCTGAGGTTTAGTGGTGGTGTTGCAGTGTTCCTCAACCAATATCCCCCTTCAGTCTCACCAGTGTAAGGGTCCGGCGAAGCATGGGAGGAAGAGACCACACAAGAGACTGGCTTCATGCAATTGGCAAAAAGGGGATTTATTGATTCAGCATGCTGAGGTTCCCCGCTCACTCAGGAAGATAGAGCAGCCCAGAGCCCAGAGCAGAGGTCAAGCAGAGCTTAAGTACACTTTTTGGGGAGGGCGGGGGGCTTTGCATACATCAGAACAAATCATCAAGAGGCACGGGAAAATTGAACAACAACTCTGAGACATGATTAGTACATTCATTGGCGGGAACAGATTGGACAGGGGTGATTGGTGCTCCTAAGTGGGGTACACATTCAAACTGATTGGTTTAGGTCCTGCAATGCCTACGTGCCATATTACACAGAATCCCAGGTTATTAGACAACCAGTGGAAACAGTGGGGATATTTACTGGGCAGTTCCAGTATTGTCCTAACAGCTACAGGGATTACAGGTTCTGGGGGTAGCAGAGGAATTGTAACAATACCTAGTCTTTTACTTTTTAACCCAAGCCCTGCACTTTACAATGCCCAGTCTTTTACACTTTAACTCAGGCTCTGCAGTTTAGAAACAGCATAGAAATTTTACCCTTACACCAGGACTGTACTACAACTTATATACGGTCAGGAATGGCTCATATGTTCTTCCCGAAACATCATTCTTTCATAGGAATTTTCATAGGCTTTTGGATTCCCTAGAGAAAAGCATTTGTGGGTCTGGCAGGAATTATAAGAAATGAAAAGCACAATATTTGAATCAGCCACTTTCAAACAGCTGAGACAGCATGCCTGCATGCGCTGGCAGGCAATGGCACCCAGAATCATGAATGGTTTAGTGTTGGTGTTGCAGTGTTCCTCAACCGAGATCTCCCATTCAGACCATCTGCCTAGGTCACTGCATACCATCTGCAAATCACCCCCTACCCATTCCTGTGACATTCAGCATCCGGTCTCAGGCTGTGCCTATCTGTGGACAGATCTCTGACAGGACCCCAAGACCCAGGAGTCCTCAGGGACTTAGGCGCAACCCATGCTCAGAGCCAGGAGTCTGTCCGTTGGCCGCCAGGGGGCACGCGCTCCAGTGCTGCGGGCTGAGTCGGTGTGTCCTCCCTTCAGCCCAGTCCTGCTCTGCGCCAAAGGGCTCTGCAGAAGGTGCAAGTCGCGCTCAGTCACTCCAAGCCACCCCTTCTGTGCTCCTAGCGCAGGCCCCACCTCCTGGTCGAAGGCTGCCGCCGGCAGGACAGCGCCCCTGGCGGCGGTTCGTGGGCCTTGTGGAGTAGCTCAGATGCTCAGAGTCCATGACCTTGGGGTCATTGCTTGCATTGCACACAGGATGGGCTCCATCTGAGGCTCTTCCATGCCAAGACCTACGGGGGTATACAGCAGTCCCTGCTGCCTCTGCAGGGTTTTCCTAAGTCCAAATTGGGCAGAGGCCTCCTGGCTGCCAGGTTTCTCTTTGGATTCCACTTGTGGGAGGCATTTATATATGAAAGGAGAAAAAGAAAGACCAAAAAAAAAAAAAAAAAAAAAAGTCATCCTCAAGACTCAGGCTCACTAGCAAGTTAGGGCTTCCAGCATTATCTCTAGGCTGCAAGTGTAAAGAGGATTGATATGGAAATGCTTGCCTGTGCAAGGAGGTAACCACAGCCCTGCCTTCCTCTCTTTCACCTACATACTTTTTCTTCTGTGTGTTGTAGATTTTCCCTTTCCACATGCTGGTTTGCAAAGCCAGACCTGGGAGAAGCATGCGCCAGAAAGACCACCTGCATGAGAAGCTGCAAGAGTGGCAAGCCTGCATTTTGGCCTGTGGAGGACTGAAGAGGAAGGGAATCTCTTGGTATTCCCTTGCCTCTGGTTTTTCTTGAAAATTAGCAGGATCAAAGCAGGCTGTGAACCCAAGTACAAGAGCAGGCCCTAGATAGGGAGAGCCTCAGGCAGTGTTGGCCACAGGCAATTTTTTCTGAAAGTTCTTTCTCTGATGATCAAGACCCTTGGGGTGGGGGGAATGCCTATGAGTCTCAGTACTCACTGAGACTTGCCCTTTTCCAGCACGTGGTTTTCTGACTTCAAGTCTTAGGCTGTAAGTTAGCCAGTGAAGCTAAGTGTGTTTTCAGCTCAGCCTCTTCAACATGACAGAAATAGAAAGATTTTGCTCTAAGAGAAAATTGCACTTGAATGTTCTCATTTGAAAGAACTGGAAAGTTTCTGACACAAGGCTTCTCTAGTAGTGAGGTCCATCTTCCATACTATTTCTTTTCCTTTTTCAGACAGAAATCAAGACAATTGCCCAGGCTCTTGTGGAACTCTTGATGTCCAAGGAGCTTAGATTCCCAAGTAGTTTGGCGTTCGCAGAGTGCACTTCTGTGCCTGGGTTCTGAAGCACAGGGCTTTTTCTGTCTTTCCAGTATAGACCATTGAACCCAGGATGCTCTGCCCCTGAGCTCCATCCACAGCTCCTTTGATGTTTCATTTTGAGACCAGGTCTGTCTAATTGCAGGGTGTGGCCTTCCATTTGCAATCCTACCCTTCCAGGGTCTTCAGTGTCTGCAGGACCTGGATCCTGGCCCATAGCCTTTGGAGAGGATATGAACTCTGGGGTGGGGCCCATTGCTACTACTGGATCCCACCTGCCACCATGTCCATGAGTGCAGGCTACCTCACTAGAGGATGACTGTGGTGAGACAATGATAAACCCAACCTGATCTTTTATTAAATTGGGAGCCCTCTCACCACAAAGCCATGAAAAGCTAATTTCGGCTTTACTATAAATTACTGCAAATTCTGAACCTGCTTGGAATGCCTGCCCGTGCCTTGAACTCACCCATGCCTGGCTCTCTGACCAGATAGCAGCCCTCTCTGAAACTTTAGTGACACCTCATAAATATTGGCCTTCCCTGGCCAGACAACGACCCTCTCTGAGGCTCTAATGGTCTTCATAAATTCTGATGTTGGAGCCAGCAAAAATTGTAAACTACCATTAGTGTGATGCTTGTCAGAGTTCTGTTATCTGTAACCCCCCTTTTGTGTAACTTTCTGGGCTATAAAGCTGGGCTGTAGGAAAGCTGGGGCTGCTGTCTTGTTCCTGCCGTTTTGGGAGAAAAAGGCAGTCCGGCCGGTCGAAATAATAAGCTTGCTTTAATTTGATTTTAATTGGAGTCAGTGGTCTTTTCTTGCGTCCTGGTCTAACAGACAAGACAACCTCATCAACCCAGTCACCCCTACTAGGTCCTCGATGTAGGCTGGTCCTAAATATCCCATCTGCTCACTGCACACACAAGAGTGAATCCTAATGAGCTAGAGCCAATCTAGCACAAAGCTGGATGATCCAGTGAACTTGATTAGATATTGCTGACCCTCCATAAAGTCAACTGAAACAATGATGGTCACCTTGAAAGTCAGCAAGGAGCTCAAAAGCAAAAGCAAATGGATACTCTGAGGTTCAGTGGTGATGTTGCAGTGTTCCTCAACCGAGATCTCCCATTCAGACCATTGCCTAGGTCACTGCACACCATCTGCAAATCACCCCCTACCCATTCCTGTGACATTCAGCATCCAGAGTGCAGGCACCTGTCTTTAAGGCACTAGGAAGTATGTTATCTTCTTGGAGGTCAGGTGTTGGGGTGATAGATGGTGGGGTATCCTCACCTCCTAGGCATCTAAAGGGGTGCACTATACCAGGAGAGGGCCCCACCCACAGCAGCTCTCCCTGACTCAAGTGGACAGCACCCAGGGCTCTGAATCGGACAAGTTCCTGCGTTTAGTGTTGCTGGCTATCCATGGCCTGGTCCTGAAGAAGGTCTTGTGGACATGGTGACTTTGTGGATTTGTTTGCACAATACTACCAGGATCAAATGTGTGTAAGTTTCTTAGATGAGGGCTTTGATACATACACTCGACCCTGAAACTCTGTGGACATCGGGAGCAGTGCTCTAAGCAGATCCACGAAGCTGGGCCTGTGGCTATCAACATCCTGTGTGATCCAGGCAGGAGGATCTCAAAATCTGTGCCAGTCTTTGCCAATCAGGGAGTTTGTCACAAAATGCTCAAAGAAAAAGTCCTACCCAAGGACCTGGGTAGCAGAGCACCCTGGTTTCCTCACGCATTACTGAAAAACAAAACAAAAAGACAGAAAAAAGTAAAGAAGAAAGATCTTGTTTGAAATAGGTCAACCATGATGCTTTCAGTGCTATGCATGAGGAAACTGGGGCTCCAGAGCACAAACTCTTGTGCTCTTCCAATTCTGCATGGTGTCTTGGCTCGTATTCAATGACAGGGGCCCAAAGCCTGAGACCCAGAGTTGGCAGGGAAGTTCCACGTGCCGTCACATTTCCATTTGGATTCCTACCACTCAGGTGGAGGGCAGTGGTTCCACTCCACATTGGAGAGCAGGAGACCTAAGTGTGACCACGCTAGCAAAGACACCTCTTCTGTTGGATTCTACTTTCCATTTCTATGGCCCTAAGGGCATTGCCCCCAGAAAAGCAGCCCCTTCTGGTGGCATGGAGTCCTCAACCTTTTAGGCAGTCACCTCTCCCCCATACTCAGGGGCCTCTATCTCACCTCCTCCGGAATGACCAGTGTGTGTTCTCCCCCACAAGACCCATGTGCTCTTCTGGGGTCTCTCCCATGGAAGCTACACAGTGTTGGTGGTGGCACAGCCTCCGGAATGGATTGAGCAGGCAACTTGATATCACACAATGTAAAACTTTATTACCATACTTTTTAACACACCTATCTCAACAATGAAAACACAGTGAAATAGCCATAACAACAACAATGAAAGAACCCTTCCCCCAAAACTTATAGTGAAATAAGTATAACAACAACAATGAAAGAACCCCAAAACAACAAAACAAAACTTAAACCAAACCAGATAATAAATAAATAAATAAATAAATAAATAAGGAAGTAAATGAATAAATTTTAGAAATCCAGGAGATTCCAGAGGAGAGGAAGAGGAGAGGCGTGGTGGGGACCTGGGACTGAGTAACCCTCAGGAGCTCACAGAGGTAGAGGGGCCAGAGGAGACATGAGCTCTAGGGCAGTGTCCACTCTCCAGGACATGTGGAGTGGGTGCTGGCCTGAGAGATGGGTGACCTGGTGCCTCTGGTGTTGTGCTGTGTTTAATTGAGGGTTTTTCCTGGAGAGGCAGCTGCAAGAGAAAAGAGCCCCAACGTGACTGCCTTTCCCTGGGTCTTTCCCGATTCTCAGAAGAACCCTGGCTGTGAGAAGAGCCCAGCCCCTATCCAGACACCAGGACTTCTTCCCGGACGAGGGCCCTCCAGCTGCAGGTGGGGTCAGGAGTATTAGGCTGGGGACCACAGGCCAGTTCCCAGCAGGAGCAGCAGAGGTTCCAGGACACACACAAGCAGTCACCCACCCGAGGCCCCTCATCACAGGCCTGGGACTCACTGGGATCTGTGTTCTCCAGCCCTGTCAGGAGCCTCTCCACCTGGACTGTCAGCCCTGACTCCGGCATGGTGTGGAGCAAGAAGGTCCTGAGACTCCTCAGGCTGTCCATGGACCCCACAAAATCTTCTGGGTACAAGTAGAGCCACATTTGGACAGCGGAGCAGATGGAGCTGGGGACATAGGAGTGGGGCAAGGAGCCATGAGCAACTGGGCATCGCCTTGAGCTGGAAGCCCCTTTGGACCACCCGGATGATGGACTTCCCAAAGACAGGCCAAGTCCCATGCAGCAGGGCGAGAAGAAGGACATCCTGTGAGGGCCATGTGTGGGTAAGAGGCTCCCCTCTCCTGAGCATCGGGGGCTCCCCAAATTTGCCTCAACAGAGAAAAGTGAGGGCCATCATGCCTGGGATTGGCTGTGGAGGGGAGGGATGCTCACAGGGCCAGGCTCTGAGGCGCCAGCCCCTCCTGCAGTCCTTAGCTACCCAGAATCCCACCACAGCTATCTGTGCCCACTCCAGAGGGAAATCACCAGACCACATCCGTGTGCCACAAATCACAGAAGGTGGACGCCTGCGTTTTTGCCCACCCATCCACTGCCAAGGTTCCCCAAGTGACCCTGGAGTCAGAAGCCCACTCTCGTGGCCCCCAAACCACTCACTTCTGTCCCGGAAGGAAGACTTCCTCCATGCATAGCTGTTGCTCCTCATACCTAGAGAAGGCCAGGAGAATGTCACCTCCTACATCCTGTGCCCTGCATGAGCCAAGATGCCTGGTGGCTTTGACTAACTTCCTGCCAATAGTGAAAGCTCAGGAGGGCTGGGAGGTGTGCGTGCCCTGCTTCCGAATGGATAGGCCATGTGCCTGCCAAGGGCAGGTGCTTCACATCTGTTGGGCCCATGAATGAATCCAACCAGGTCCCACTCTGTCCACCCCAGCAGTCCCCACTCTGCCTCCAGGCAGTAAGGGGCCCTTCCTCATGCAAGCCACATGCTCCTTCCCAAATGTTCAAACTGCTCTTCCTGAGGCCTCTGTCCAGCTGGGCTGAGGCAGAAGAGTTCCCCACAGGGGCAGGACAGGCCCCCAGGGGAAGTCCTGAGGCCTTGGAAGCCTGGCCCAGTACAAGGCCTAGGAACTACACTAGTAGGGCTCATCTTACTTGGTTGGCTCAACACCCTGGTGGGTTCTCCTGTGAATATCCTACATCCCACAGAGTTGCCAGAGGTCCAGAGTGGTGCCCGGCATCCCATCCACCATGCCAAGAGATCGCCATGTCCCAGGCCCTGGAGGTGGCACACACCTTTGACTGAGGAGCTCTAGCACTTTCTGGATGCTGGTCACCTTTGGGCGTCTGCACAACAATTCTTCCACCCAGGAGGGGTGCTGCCTCTGCAGGACGTTCACGAGGTCCTTCTCCAACTCCTGGCACATTAGTGAGGTGAAGCTGTCCACCAGACTGGACACATCCAGGGAGGAACGTCTGTCACATCCCTAGTTTCAGGGATCGAAGAGGGACATTTCAAGCAGGAAACAGTATCATCTGCAAAATGTCTCACTGTCCTACAGTCAGGTGGAAACTGAACCAAAGGCTTTCCTTCCCTTCTAATTCTCAGTTGAAATGAGGGAAACACACGCACCCACACCCACTCGCATTTGGTGACCATCTGGGGCTGTCCCAAGTGGAGTCACACAGGCGGGTTAGACTCTGCTCACCTGCGAGGTTCTGTCCTGTCTCACCTCCGGTGTCCTTGAGAAAAATCGCCTGAGTGTTCTGGACCCACGGCTGACCCAGCGCCTCCACACACGTGAAAGGCCACTCTGAAGGGCTTTCCTGAGGCCAGGGTGTCCACGGAGGACTGGACCACAAGAGCTCATGGCTCTCTGCTTGCCTTGTCAACGCAAGTGAACGGACAGGAGCTGGAGGTGGACTGTTGGTACCTAGCTAGGAGGGTTCCAAGTTCTATATGTTCCATGGCCAAGGAAGTGAGGTCACTTCCTCTGGGACTCCTTACCTGAGTCCCTTTTTCACACAAGATGGTTCCAAAGACCACCTGGGGTGCTGGCTGCTGCCATCTTCCCATGGCATATGCACAAGTGGACAGATTCTGCCAACACAGCCTGGATCTCTTCCCCAGGAAGACCCAGGTCCTGCCAGCAGCTCCCCTGGTTGGGGGAGACAGAGCTGGGTTCAGTCTCATTGCCTCCTTCTGACCATGGGTGTGAGTTCAAGAAGCCAGGGGGCCTCACAGGCTCTCCAGAGTTTCCTAATGTATCCTGGGGAAACTTCCACCCTCTGCTTTGGACATGGTCATCACCTGTACGTGCCCATGGGTACAAGAACCACCTGGGCAACCCTCATGCTGGAGTCATGTGTCTGTCATGCACAAACACAGAGGTGACACAACACAGGAAGGAGGGGAAGCAGGGATGACATGCAATTCTACTATGCCCTGAGTCCTACAGTGACAGAGGCAAGTGGACTCCTCTCTTGACTCTGACTGTGCCCGACAGTGCCCGACTGGAGGTGTGTAGGGACTGATTTTCAGAGAGAGCCTTTGTTTGCCCCAGAACTGCCAGTGGCTTCTGGGAGATTTTGAATAGCACCCATGTCTCCTTCCATGGTATCATGTGGGTACACTACGAAGGCTCCCAATCTCCAAAGCAGCCCTGTGCCCAAGTCCTATAGCTCCCTACCCTCTAGGGGGTCCACATCACTTCTACCTGGATTCTGAGAAAGAGGCAACAGCCAGGGTCATGGGGTATTCCATGCAACTTGGTCTCAGGAGAAGTCTCAGGACTCTGTGGCTTCATTGCCCCCCAGCAGAAAGGACTGCTGAGATTCTGGAGCTGTGTGACAAAAATAGGTGGAGTGGCAATAGGCAGAGACTCAGGGCCTCCAGGAAATAACCAGGAGCTGGCATTTCTCTGCTTCTATTTCCTAGTGCCTCACATAGGTGAAAATATTGGGGTTTCAAAATTCACTCATGCACAAAATATATCAAGAAACGAGGATGGTATCAACTGGTCAAGAGTCTGTCCAGTATCATGGTCTCTAGCATGGGCATGAGTGCCCCTTCCTCCACGTCTCTAGGGAGAGGCAACATTGCTTCTTTCAGGGTGGCAGCAAGCCACTCTGGTTTGTTTGGTGCACAGTGGAAGGCAAGACTGTTGTCTCCCATTCTTTCAACACAGAGGAAACCAGGCCCCAGTGTTAGGAGCAAAGAAGCCTCCCAGAAGGCAACATCCATACAATAGCCAAGGCTTCTGAGCAGGCCCAAGGACAGACAACTCAGTGTGGAGAAATGGAAAGGGAAAAGGAGGCCACTCATGGCAGAGGCACTCCCTCACCAAATGCGTGTTGACTGAGAACCCTGTGCTCACAGCTTACTGCAACCCAAGAGGCCGAGGCCTTTCCCTGCTCCCAAGGAACTTCAAGAATTCGCCACCCATGCCAGGAGCCTCAGGTCCACCTTCCTGGTGCACACAGAGCTAAGTGGCTGCTCATCCTGCTGCCAGCCAAGGTCAGAGGCACAGCATAGACCACTGGCCAGGAAAGACTGGAAGATCACTCCTCACATGCCAAATCACCCCCAGGGGCTGGCTCCTAGCACAGAGAATCCCTGGCTGCCTCTGTGTTATTGGGAAGATAGATGCTGGAGAGTGGCATTTGGGAAGGGAAGGCCACAAGAAAGACCAGCAGCCACTCAGAAGGGTGATGGGCTTGGTCCACCCTGAGGCTTCATTCCTCTGGCAAACAGGAAATTGCCCCTGAGTTTGAAGCCGCTAAGAAGTCAGAGGAATGGAAAATCCTGCCCTCTTGTGTCCTGAAGCTACAGGCATTCAGTTCCTGGCCTCAGGTGATTACATCCCCTAGCCCACTCAGTTTCTTTGGGAAGGAGAAAGTGCCCTGGACCAGCCTCTCATGCCCCTTTGGGGCCTGCGATTAGGAGGAAGTTCAGTCAGGATCCCTGTCACTAAATACAACTCTGAGACTGACAAGGGCAGCTGGCGATTTTTGTCTTTGGTGGCTCCTCCTGGGGAAGCGACTCAAAATTGATCGGCTCTGATCTTCACGGAACTCTCCCAAACACAAGAAGGAGTCCATACTTTCTTCAAGGACTTATACCTGTAGAATTTCATCCCCCTGCTGAGGACGGAGACTTCAGGTTTCCTACATCACAACCAACTTCCTCTGAGAGGCAAGCAGGCCCTGACCCCATTTCCAATCCTCTTGGGGAAGCTACAGTTGGACAGTGGGGAATAAATGTATCTCATGGCACCGATTTCTGCCTGGGGAGAGACTGATTACTGGCCTGGGTTCAACTGCCTCACTGAAAAGTCCACACATTTCTCAGCTCATCCAGGAGGGTCACCCAAGTTTTCCCTACCTGCCTTCTTGTGACACGCAGGCTAATGCTCGGGAAATGAGCCCACAGGTGTTTCACCCTCCCAGGCCCCATGCTGGAATATATCCCATGCCAGACTTGGGCAAGAGCCTGATAGGATTTGGAGGACTTAGCCTTAACTTTCAGAATCTGAATGTGTAGCTGAAGTCAGCCATAAATCCACACAGTGGATTCAGATGTTGCCACGGCAGAACGCCCTCACCCCCTGCTAGTCCTGAAGCAGGGAGGATGCTTCTTTGGAAACAGGCCTCCTGCTCTGGTGGCCATATACCCCAGGCATGGCCCTGAGCATTGGGTCTACTCAGGTGAAGCCATGCTGGGAAGAATTTGGGGCCAGCACAGGAATGGCTCATATGTTCTCCCCGAAACATTATTCTTTCATAGGAATTTTCATCGGCTTTTGGATCCCCTTGAGAAAAGCATTTGTGGGTCTGGCAGGAATTATAAGAAATGAAAAGCACAATATTTGAATCAGCCACTTTCAAGCAGCTGAGACAGCATGCCTGCATGCGGTGGCAGGCAATGGCACCCAGAATCATGAATGGTGCAGTCTCAGGCTGTGCCTATCTGTGGACAGATCCATGACAGGACCCCAAGACCCAGGAGTCCTCAGGGACTTAGGTGCAACCCATGCTCAGAGCCAGGAGTCTGTCCGTTGGCCGCCAGGGGGCACGCGCTCCAGTGCTGCGGGCTGAGTCGGTGTGTCCTCCCTTCAGCCCAGTCTTGCTCTGCGCCAAAGGTCCCTGCGGAAGGTGCAAGTTGCCCTCTTCCCAAAGGAGGCCAGTGGCCTCTCAGTCATCCCAAGCCACCCCTTCTCCGCCCCCAGCGCAGGCCCTGCCTTCTGGTTGAAGGCTGCCGCTGGCGGGACAGCGCCCCTGGTGGCGGTTCGTGGGCCTTGTGGCGTGGCCCAGAAGCTCAGGGTCCCTGATCCTGGGGTCACTGCTTGCCTTGCATAGAGGGATAGCCTCCATCTGTGGCTAGTCCATGCTAACATTTCCAGGGGCATGCTGCAGTCCCTGCTGCCTCTGCAGAGTTTTCCTGCCTCCAATGTGGGCTGTGGCCTTGCCACTGCATTCAATTATTATTTCATATCAGGCATTTAAAATCCTTTTTAATAGTAGAATATTAGGCAGATGCAAAAAATAAAATAGAAGTTTCGTTTTGATAAGAGGTAAAAGGAATTAGCTGGCTTGAGTCTATCTATTTTGTGTCTTCAAGGCATATTGGAGAGTGACAAACAGACTTGGAAATTAAGGAATTCCCAGTTTGAATTCCACCCTCTTGTTGTTCGTTGTTGTCATTGTCTTCTTCTTCTCTTGTTTTTTTTGGGGGGAATTGGGGGCCAGTGTTGGGTACTGGGACTGAACCAGAGTCACTCTACCACTGAGCTCCAACCCCAGCATTTTTAATTCTTTTTAAAGACAGGGTCTCACTAAGATGCCTGTGGCCTTGCAATTTTTCTGAAGCTGGACTTGAAGTTGTGACCCCCTGCCTCAGCCTCCTGAGTCACCACCACACACAGCCCCCACCCTCTCCTCTTAATCACACAAGTTAGTTCATCTTGGACAGGTTCTTTAAACTCCTTAAGCCCTGGTTTCCTCAGATATACATGTGTAATTAGAAAGGATAAGTTTTCCCTCCTAGGGTGAGGATTCCAGGTCAGGCACTGCCCTTATGTGTGTTGGCTGGCTTCATCAGCCTTACGGAAATCCAGTTTTACAGCTAATGGAACAGAGGCAAACAGGTGGAAGGATGTGCTTTAAATCATATAGTTGATAGAGATTAGATGAAGGCAAATTCAGAGCCAGAAAGTCTGGATAAAATTCTTCTCCTCCTACAGTGCATTTCACATTGTTCACAGTGTATCTAGTCCATGATAGGCTCCCAATCCGTTGTGGTTACTTTCTGTTCTTCTTCAAATGTGCCAAGTTCACTCTTAATTTGTGGAAGTTTCCGTATGTTATGTAACAAAATTATCATGAGGTAATTCACTATATAATGACAATATGATATGATATTAGGCAATAGATCTCATAGTGTGTTTTCTTTGCACAGATGGTGGTGAAAGTAGCTATCTTTCTCAGTGGACGAAAGGAAATCAAAAACAATGCTGTATACAATGCAACCATTTATAAATATGTACTTTACCTTTTTTTCTCTTTGAGGAATCATTAGAGAGTAAAGAAGTTAGGAAGAGCACTTATTTCAATTTGAGAACAGAGTGCGAATAGGATGGCTTAAAGAAAGTTACTAAATATTTGGATAAGTGACAGTTTGACCTCTTTCTCCTATTCCCAGGTCATCCAGTACATTACAGAAAAGGGATTTCCCAAACCAGAGTATTCTAATTCCCTACATTACAGGGTCTTATTTTTCATTTGTAGTTTGCATTATTTGATTTGTTTGCATTTAAAACAAAGCCTAATTTGTGCTTTATATCCATAGCCATTCTCTTTTACCTAAGCATACTCAGGAATGCAAGGAATTTGGGGCATTATCTGTTGATCTCCTGTTTACCCAGCCTGGAATGGGAATTT